TGGCGTCGAATACGGAAGCCGTCATATCCACCGAAAACCGCTTGTCTATCTAAGGAAAACCCGAATAAGTTGCCTTTACTTGAACGGTTAGTGATATATCAACCGTTGAAAGTCTGAGTATCAACATTCACTTATTATTCACTGTAGGCATCTGTCTGCAGTATTTAACTAAACTCCGTTGAAGTCTGCAAATACTTCTCTGTTTTATGAGTACTGTCTTATGCAGTTCGCCGAGAAATCAATTTCGATTTTCTTCTATTGACATTGAGACTGAGCAAATATGAACAACAGCGTACGCTTCGGCAGCTAACTGTTGGAAAACCCCAATTTTACACTGAGATCCCTACCAGCTATTCGTGTTTAACATCTGCCAAGAAAAAGCCTCAAAAGATTCTGAGCAAAAAGTGATATTGTTGGTACTTCTTGAGTGAACAGGGAGTTTTGAGTGCATAAGGATTACACCGGAAAAATAGAAGGATTTTTCTGGCCATATGAGTAGCTAGTTACTTAACAAATTTGCAAACTAACTAGTTAACAACCGATACGAGCTTCAGTCTTACAGACATATGCTGAGTTTTCCTTTATTCGCTTTAAAGGTACATTTATATTAGAGTTTTTGTAACAAAATTTAATCCATGTTCACAGTAAGATTGTTTTGTATTCGCCTTGTAATAACCCTCTGAATCTCTGCTGTCGCTTCCAGGCAGTCAGTTGGGGCGAGTCTGCAGCCGGGTTTCGCTCGCTCTAATTCGATTCAGATGATCGACGTGTCGTCGCCATCGTCACCAGCCATATCGCAGCGCTCTGGCGCACAGTCCACAGTGCATTCGCCTACGCACGGGCTGTGGGAGAGCGCGGTGAGTGCCCTTACCGGTCAGTTCTTGTTCCGTTTTTGACAATTTGCTGGATTTTTGGCCACGACACTGGCCATACCTGAAAGTGAGAGTGAACCTTTTGATCTACACCCTATGTTAACTTTACTGATGCCACTAATACCACATCATAGTGCGCATGTAGCACAAAAGCGAAAATTTTGGATAATCTTCTGAGGCTTTTTTGATCATTGCTAATGTCTTCTCTTACGTAAGATGCAAAGCTGTACGGCTTGGGTATTGATCAAGTCTGAGCGATGTGCTGCGCATAACTTCAATAGACATCTTCAAACGTGATTCAATGCATATTTACCCTGCACAATGACTTAAGGTGACGTATTGGAAAATCGTATCAGTACAGCTATCCTCACATACAAATTTGGTATCAGTTTTCTGATCACGAAGGAGTGAAAGCTTGGTGAGACCGAGGTGCGATCAAATCAGCAACCACGTGTGTATTTCATAACACCTCTATGCTACTGCAGCAGTGGCGTCCTAGAACCTGTGCAAAGTGGACCTATGTTGAAGTAAGGATTATACTTCAGCTTTTCGTTTCGTCAGGAACTTTCCACTGCCCAATCAAATCACAAAATCACAAGAATATGACGGTGATTTGTGTAGGATAACAATTTTACGGATTTGTCCGAAGACGATCTAGCAAGTACATAACTTACTTTCATCCGTCATTATGAAACATTATCGTGTTAAGGAAACGCAAGTACAAGTTCACTCTCATTCCTTGCTACTGCTTTTGTATCTAGGTACTAACATGCTACTGAGACGTACGTCGGCTGCGGTTACACGCGAAGTCGACGAATTGCGCCGCAAACGGCAGTGCTCTTTAGAGTGGGAGTTCTTGGCCACGGTTCTCGATAGGTATGCATTATAATCGGATTCTCTTCTCTCAAGTTCAACTGTTTTTTAACGTTTTGAAAATTTGTTCATTTTTATTTTTCTATTTTGATATTTCCTAAATAACATGTTTTATGGTATTTTTATAGACGACTACAAATGGAAATCCGATCTCATTCGCTGGACAGGAACTTTTCATAAGAGTTTGAGCAATCATTTGGAAGCTTGAATCCATGGCTAGAGGCCCAAGTGGCTGGTTTTTTAAAACACCCTTTTATGATGCTGAAGCATCTAGAGTAAAATTATGCTTCCCCCGTCGTTCGCCTTCATTTTCATCACGCGTATAATTTGCCAAGAGCACGAAAAGCATATCAACGTGTAGAGAAACTGTTGTAGTAACTGACTCGATCGTTTTATCTGAAACTTCTTTCAAAGCGGAAGTTTGCCCCACTCTTCCCGACCCCATGGACTAGCCGATAAACAAGGCTGCCGAGATTGCAAAGCTCAATCTTATTTTTCCTGTTAGTGATTTTTTCAGAAAATAAGCGTATTGTTGGAATCACCAAAACTTACACTATCGAATGATTGCTGAGAGTCTATAGAAAGAGCTCTATGCGGCAAGGTGTAAAGCACGAATCTTTTCTTTCTCTTACAGTGCTATCAAAAGACATTTTCTAGAAAGTAAACATATTTCTGAGTCCTTGGAAACTTGCGCTATCGGAGGAATACTAGCACTCTAGAGAAGGAGTTTCGTCCAGCAAAGTATAAGCGAGATAAGTAAAAAAATGTAGCAGCATGAAACATAATGTTATCTTGATTTGACAGCGTTATAAAAGGGTGTTTTGAAAAACCGACCACATGTGGCTCTAGCCAGTGACTCAGCATTCAAATGTTACTAATACCTATAAAAGTTTCTGTCTAGTAATTGAGATCGGCTTTTTGTTCGTGGCCGTCTAACATATAAGCACCGCTTTTTTCTAGTCTTTTTAGTTATATACTTCCACAAAAATCCTAACTGCTCAAATTTATCTGAGCTCACAAACCCTGCCGTACGTAGAAATTATTTTTTAAACTTCAAATTATGAAAACTGTTTCAATCTTCATGTTCAGACATGTACTTTTTCACCAAGCTTTTACTTACTTGAATAATTGGGCGACCCGATTTTACGAGTTATGCGAACATCAAAACATTCTCTCTAGACGAGCCTATCCGTGCTTCGTGATTAATGTGTACTCTCTTAGATTTTGAAGACACGTTGTTTCCGAGGAGTGGTACAAACTGCGCAGGGCTGTGAGTGCAGATTAAATTTTAGATGAATTATTTAATTGTACAGCTAACTGAAATTCTCAAACGCCAGCATTTCAGCAGTTGTACCTTGTACAGTGCGTATGAAAGTTAAAGTTACAAGCAGTCTACTCAATCAAACACATTCGTAACCTCATCAGAAAAAGCTCATTGCATAAATTTTACTCGCGTAGTTAGCGGCTTCTTTTAAACGATCACCGTTTTGTGCTTTATCAGTGTTCCAATAATTCCAAGATAGCTCAAGTGCGAACAGAGCTGAAAACTTTAAGTGTCAAATCACTCTGAAGGAAACCCCAAATAAGGGCCTATATCGGTGTCGAATGCTAAGGAATCCCGAAAGGGTGCTCGCAGATTCAGAATCTGTCTGAGGTTTCGAGTTTTCTTCATATCTCAACAACATTAAGGTTATATATCTATCATTCCCTCCAATAAAAAAGGCAGTAAGCAAAGATTTGAACACTATTCAACATTCCTTGTTAGAGACCAACCTGGTCCGCACAAAGTCTTCTATTAATGAGAAATGTGCTTGGCTGTTAGTTTTACTGTGAAGTTGAAACCCTTCATGCCGATTTCAAATTTCTCTGCTACATAATGTTAGTTATTCCTTTTTCTACATTCCCGGAGCACTGTTTAATACTTAGTTTTAGGTCTGTTCAAGCAGGTTAAAAAAATTTCATAAGCCCGTTAGTGCCACTCACTTTGTAACAGCTTCTTTCCAGATTACTGCTGGCGATTTTCATATCGATTGTGATTTTGATCACAGCGGGCCTGGTGATGGTTGGTAAAATGGCACAACTCAGTTATGACAATTCCGACGAGTCGTTCTTATGACGTAGAAAACTATTTCATGTATATCACATGAACGCGCTGGTGAACATCGTCTACATTAATCTACACCGAACGAAAGGAATATCTTGAGCGTTCAACTCGCTTATGTGAACTCCTTGACATAGAATAGTAGTGACGTAATCGGCGATAGAGATATAGGGTAAAACATTGTCACTGAAATTTTTGCTCAAAATTATTGTACAACAAAGGATATTCAATATACGCAATAAGATTCACGAAAAGTCCTTTTAGATTTTCGTTTCTTCTTAAACTTTTTATCTCATGTTCTTCACAACGGACGTGCCAGTGTTTTCATTCCTATGCATTTATTTGTTCAATTTTCAAACGTTTTCAATGATGCTGAGAGTTTTCGTGATACAGCTGTCAATTCTATCAATATTTCAAATCTTTTTAGGAACTGGAGGTATCTTATACTGGTACACGATAATACTGTACTTCATTCTTTTCACTGCTTTTAGTATTTCCGTCATCCTCTTTTTCTCCAGTGGTAATGCATTAGAAATTATAGTAAGAAAGATAAAAAGCATTTATGCCAAATATATGCTCAATAAAAATTTCATGTAGTTTTTACCACGTTGTTGTATTGAATTTAGAGAATCTCATTTGATTTGTTTGATTTCTAAGCAAAATATAATTGATTATTATTAAAGGAGTATGTTGCAAATTTGTGATCATTCCCAGGGCCTTTTCTTATGGCGCTTTGCATCGAATACATGTATCAGCTGCACTCTATAATTTTGGTGCCCAATATCGGTGCAAGCACATATGTGGTTAGAAGTATCCAACAACACACGTTCGGTCTTTGGTTCAATCCCACACCCCGGCATCGTCAAGTCTTCCATCCCTCCCGGATTGACAATTCATCCACCTCTAACAATGCTCAATGAAATCGAATGCGCGACGCATCATGGATTGATCAAAGCCGGGAGCTTTATCCATTGTCCTTTAAAATACTCTAAATTCTTCAAAGCGATGTAGATAAATTCAAGAGCGCAGAAATGAAACGCAGAGTTGGCGATCTCACACAATGATCAAATCGATTCTTTTTGTTTTACCGCTGTTAGAGGTGGTATGATGTTTTAGATATACCCAGTAATGTACTGGGTGATGTACAAAACCTTTGCGTCAGGCAGGACTCGAACCCACACTTCACTCTATCCGGGAGCGCGTGTTTTAACCAGTTGCACTACTGACGCCCATTTTGCACACCACTCTACGCTACAACGCATCTATCCGTCAGCCGCCAACGGTCAACAGCCTGGCCCGGTTAGTCGGTATCGACATTGAACCTAGTCATGCCGAGAGATAATGGGTATTGAATGAACAAATCGGGTTCGAGTCCCGCGTGGCGCAAAAGTTTTGTACATCCCTCTATACCTTTGGGTGTATTTGAAATATCACATATCACACTAAAAGCGGTCAAACAAAAAGAATTCGATTTGATCATTCAACGCCCAATATCTGTCGATTTGGCTGGGTTCAATGACGATACCGACTATTCGGGCCAGGGTTGACGATTGGCAGCTTGAAAAAGATGCGTTGTAGCATAGAAAGAATGGTGTGTGAAATGGGCGTCAGTAGTGCAGCAGGTTAGAGCACGCGCCCGGATAGAGTGAGATGTGTGTTCGAGTCCCGCCTGACGCGAAAGCTCTGCAAATCACTCTACATCACTAGGTAGTTGGAGCTGTCATGGTAACCAATTCGCTTGCTACTCATGCACGAATGGCGCGCAGAAGCAGGGGCAAATGCTAGTGAAGCGGCACCCAAGATTAAGTGAAGCCTCCTGTGGACGGCCCGAGCGCGATTGATTCTTCAGACTGTCCTCACCGGCTTCGAACTTTGTGAACCACTTCCTAGCCGTCCGTGCATCCGTATCATCGCCCCAATTTTCATTAATTTTCCAGCCGCTTCACTAACATTTTTCCCTACGTGCCATTCGTGCATGGGTAGTAAGCGATATTGTTTTCACGAGAGCTCCATCTTGAAGCAAGTGTCGACAAGTTGTATACCAAAATTTTTACGAGAAAATGAGCAAGTGGGAGGTATTGAAATCATGAAATTTAAACTACTTCTGATCAATAATTTGGTGTTTATTGCTCAAGCGCTAGAACTTACGGAAGGACTTAATAATAAACTCTTCTGTACTCATCAAAAAGGAACTTTGAATTGCTGATGGTCCAAGTTTTGAAAACAGAAGCCATTACCGAAAGTGGCTACTTTCTACTTTTACTACATTTTTTAAAGAGATATTTGGCTACTATAAAGGAATCCATGTCGAGACTTTCCATGGCTAGTGTTTCAGAAATTCCAAATCAAAGCGGATCAAGCCCATTTACGAGACATTCGGCACATACAAAGTCTTCTTTGATAATTCGCTTTTAATTTGATTAGTCTTGAAAAGCATTGTACTACATTGATAGGGAAGACGATATTCTCAGCACGTGACATGTCCGAAGACCTTTGTGGAGAGTAAATGCGAGGATACGAATCTAATGCTGGAACTGTTAGGATTCGCATAGTGTATGAGAAGATAAGTCATCCACAAAAGTTGACCATTCGTCGACTTGAAATATACAGTTCAACAAATTCAACTGTTTGCTACTATGACTATCTTATCTGTATAGTTTGAACCAATGGGAGATCAAAACGCCTAGGGTCCTGATATTTGTCATAGAAGACCTCAGTGATGATCATATGGTGCTAGGAGTTAAATCCTCTCCAATAGACAAGTGGCAGAGCTAATGATGTTGAATACATGGGAACAATCTAATGTAGTCTTTAGATTATAGCTATTACTCTACAGGAATTTATGTTCAACTGACATTCAACGTGCTAATGAGGAAAGACGAAGACAGATTCTTAAGCTGTAGTCAAAATACCTTACTACCCTAATTTTCATAAATTACCCCTGCTAGGTGACGAAATGAATAGAGCAATTTCTTAATACTCATGCAAGAATCGACCACTTGAGTGCTCAAAGTATGTTGCAATTATCGAGAAAAAACGCAAAAAACCGGTACTGCATAACGAGGCTGTTTAGCTCTATGAGTACTCATCGTCTGTGCAAATTTCCACAAATCGCTTCAACGGTAGAGGTGGCAATTTTTGAGTTTGAGCACGGTGCATTTGATTTCTTGCAAAGCATGTAAAGGCGAATACGCTCCTCGTTGTGCCGTTTTTGTTCATTGCAAGTTACTCATTCATTATATCGTTTTCTCATCTAGAAGCTTACACGAAAAAGTGTGACTATTTTTGGAAATACCAAACACTAACTTTTCTTAATGAATGTTTATTGAGCGTTTTTGACAGGAAAACAATTTTAAAAACAGTGAAGAAGCATAAATGTGTTTGTCTTAATTTGAGATCACTCAGATATTTTTAAGAACTTGAAACGAGCAGTAATCGTGACCGACATTGTCCTAGTGATTTACCGTAGATGCGTTGCTGGCTTCACAAAATTGAAACACTTTCAGTTATGTTTCTTTCACCTCATTACAGAGCTCCGACATACTCTGAAAAGCTGCATCAAGCCTGATCGATGTTCAGTGTGTCAGTGGTTTACATACGTTTCGGCGATCTTGCCCGCCATTAGAACCACACGCCCCACCAGTGATCCCTAGTGATAGTAAGTAAGGGGAGAAATGTTTCGGTCTGGACGACGTGAAATTTGTCTAACCACACTGACACACTAAACTTCGAAAAGGTTTAGAACAGTCTCTCAAAATATATCGAGCTTTCATTTATCGTTTATCACTCAACTAATCACAAAATCTATTCATATGATCAATCAATATGCATTTTTGTTCGGAGTAACATAATAACGAAGCATTGATTGCAGTCAACGTTAAAATTTCATTGAAAAGGTTGACTGTGTGATGAAAACGATGCACAAATAATTTAGAATGAGCTGAAGAGTAGTGTGAAATATTGAAAGAGTGAGAAATTGCTCAATCTATGTACATTTTATTTTCTATTTTCTTAGGCTCAAAAAGTTATATTGTTATCTATTTTATATCATGCTCCAGTTAACTCACTGCCTTTGATGGCGGTCGTTCAACAGGGCTCTTCGGACGAAGATTTTCCGGAACTAGAAATTGAAGAACTCAGGTTAAAGATGGCAATACTGAGTAATTAGTAAGTACTCACTAATGATTCTTCGCGATTTTGGTGTTTTGTGACGAGACAAAATTTTGGACACTTTCAACTTATTGTCTGTTGTTTTGTCAACTTTCGTCTTTTTCATGGCATTACGAGAGTTTGGTGTTTCGGATACTATAACATTTCCGTGGGACTGTTGCTCAGACTTGCTTATGGATGAATTCGCATTTTTGTTACAGTTCACATTGAGAGATGCCTTCGTAACCAACCTCGCCTCTTCGAATGAGCTGCTCTGAGAGCATTCTGCAATTATTTTTCGATGTTTGTTTGATGAAAGCAAAGTCTTAATGAATTAATGTCTGCGTTGATCTAGCTGACCTGAGGGTCCGGGCGATCCAACAACTGTCGGTGGGCGGTCGTCACTAATGTTAGTGTTCAAACTGTGGAACGTCAATAAGCTTTTGTTTTTTACAGAACTATTCTCACTATCTGAAATTAAGTAAACCTTTAGAACAAAATTAATCATTTCGAACTGGTTTGGCCGCATAATTTTTACTAGCTCCAAAATAACGCGCGTTTTATAGCAGTTACTAGAATGGAGTTCAAAGGAATAACATCAGAGACTACATTGAAGAGCTCACCTGCAGTTGCTAATTCCCGTCATTTTTAGCATTTTAGCACTTATTTGATCCGTCATCACAGTTTTTTTTTCTACACTGTGCGGATCCCAGTACTAGCATTCAATTTGTTTTTCGTCTTCTTCTTGATCGTCGTAGAGTACTGATTGAGCAAGTTTTCTTGCAATCTCGAGGATAGCCTTGCTGTGGCGTTCCATAGGTCGTTTTTGTTGACTGCCGGAGAAAGGTGGGGGTGGAGCTCGGCTCCCGCGCCGTGACGAGCGTCACAACCACTTGGCCACGGCGCCGATTCCCGTCTCAGTAAATTTATTCTTTCTCTTCTTTACGGTTTAATATACCTTCTGTCTACATAATTACGGAAAACTGACCCACAAGTGTCTACCAAATTGATGCTGTGAGAGGGTAGTGAGGAAAAAAATTCTACTAGTCTTCTGAAGATCCTGAGTACTTTCTTTGTCACTCCAGAGGCATATCCACGAAAATTACCTGATGTTAATAAATATGGATTTGATGGACTGCAACTTCGATCAGACTGATGAAAGTCTGATAGTGGCTCCGTCGGAAATTTTGCACTCAGTATCATGCTCGAGCTGATGGCATCGTCAGCAGCGGACTTCAGGTGCATTTCCTCGGATGGCCATTCATCCAGCCTGGAATCACTTACACCAAATGGGAAAAGGATGATGTGATGAGAACTGTGCTATATTCATTTCTAGGACTTGTTTATCTAAATATGAAAGTGAGCAGCATACATGATGGAGTACAATGATGTGCCATCCGAACGGAACGGAACTAGTAGCTGTATCGTTGCCGCTTTGATTGAATCAAGTCCTTCCTTACATGGTTCTTTGCCAAATACGCCTTTGTGATTTATCTAGTGAACATAGTCCGTTGGGTAGACACACTATGGCGTCAATACACGATTGGACAGTTCTTTGACACGTCAGTGAAGTGGCTCCATTTTCTGACCCAAAAGATCATCTATTTTCACTTTTAATTCTTCTCGGAATTTGAAAGTGGAAGGGCGGTTTTGAAAAACTCAGTGGACTCCACCGTCGTCGTGCCTCACGGGAAAAATAGACTGTCTCCGATACACATAAATATTGCGCTCTACTCACATGTTCCCTTTAGATCAGACGAAATAAGTTAGTTACTGAATGCCACAAACAATCACCGATCAAATAATACTCATTTTTTGACGAGGCTGCTTGTTAGGTTTCCTCTCGCTCGTGTGCCACAAGCAGTGTTATAAGCCTAGTATCTTGCTCTGCTATTGCTTTTTTTGCGGCAGTGCAACTATGTTCAAAATGACGTGGTTCTGTCGCTTACTATCGGCTTGGTTTTTATGAACGTATTTTACTCCTCTTCCTTTATTTTCATCAAAGTCATCCCAAATGTTTCTCTCCATATTTTCCTACTCTCTTCTGTGAAATTTGTTAGCCTTATATTGATGTTGTGAA